CTTTACATCTTTTTAATTCTTCCCAAACAAACCACAGTTCAATGGAATTAAGCCTACTTGCTTAGCATACAGACAAAAAGAAAAATGTAGAAAAGGTACTAATTTCCTAGCCTCATATTTTTCCATATCTTGCCCCAGAATGGAAGATTCTAATGGTTTCCTATGTGTAACTTGAGCATGGACTTGGCTTATGATAGGCATATTAATGGCTTCTCCTGATGAAGGCTCAGCTGTCCTCGCCTACTGTTATGGGAGGGAGAAGGGGGATCACATGTGTTACAGAGTATCACCATTGTAAGACAAATGTGATACCAAAGCTGAAGCTCCAATCTGTGTAAAGGACTGAGATCTTTAATGGGGTTCCCCCAACCTAACTACCCTCCATTAGAGGAAAATCAGTTTCTGACCAAATCTGCTCTCCCAAAACCTAGTTAATGAAAATGTGTATGTAAGGCAAGGGGGAATGTCTGTCTCTCACGAGCTTCTTTCCCTTCAAGACCCAGACAGACACGGGGGAACTTCATGATTGCTGTCTCAATATTTATCTTTTGCTTCAAAATACAACTTTAGAAAAAAAGAATATGTGTCAAGTTAGGTCCTGTAAATAGTAACAGTACAGTATATATTTATTCATAATTTTTAGTCAAAACTTTTGGCCTCTGAGGGCCTATTATTTATGTTATTTAACTGCTCGTGTATTTTTTACAAGATATAAAAATTGCTTTTGAGACATATCACATATCTGGGATGGAAATTATTTCACTTTTTTAGTTCAACACTGAAGTTAGATTTTATATCAGGAAATATAAAAATATCTTTTGCTCTGCTCAGTTGAATGTTCATTTTTTTTCTCATAGCATCATGTTTTTTTCCTTTTCTTTATAATTAAGACAGTTCATCATATACATAAAAGTCACACACATGAAGGCACACACATACTCAAATGTACTTGTCTTAGATATTTTCCTAGGTTCAGTTGGGTTTATTAATATATAAATATTAACAGGTAAAAATAAAGTAGTAATTGTTACAAGAATTGTTATAAGGCCTGTCACTCTGGAAGGCCACATTTGTGTCTTCAGAGTCCAGCACAACATTTTAAAGAAGTATGAATTTGAAAATATTTGGATGAGACAAGTATGCTATCTTCATGACCCCTGAAAACATTTGAGTTTCACAGATGATAAGATGTGTCAGCATTTCTGAGTATTTATTTGTGTCATATTATTGATATTAAAATTTGACCACAGCATATGAATTAAATAGGTTACCACTTTTTAATGTAATAGAGAACAGTAAAGTATTTATATTATGTCTTAGGCACTTATTTTTAAAACCTCATCCACTTTTAGCATGCAATTAATTATGCATTTAAAAGGTTTAAGAAATATAAAAGGAGCTGAAATTACTTAAAATATAGATTATAGAAAATACTAATAAATAGATGAAATAAATATATTTGCGATGCAAAGAAGAACAGATAGTATTGATGAAAGAATATTTGGAAATGGAAAGTAAAACACCAGATTAGAAGGTTGTAATTAATATAAATAACTCTTTGGAATGAAAAATGTATTTCAGCCGAGTATTTTTGCACTGAAAGATATTGGGGCTATAGTACGTTAAATACGTATAGTAATATATTATTAATAATTATTTAGACCATGTACTAACACCTATCAAGATAAATAGCACCAGCCATAGTCATATATTTTTGGGGAGGTTATCTATTATTTATTGGACCCCCTTTTACCCACAATGTAGTACAAATTTCATGAGGGTAAGAGTGTCTGCTTTGTCACTATGACAAAGTACTTGGTACTTAGCACATCGTTTGTCATATTAAAGGTGCTCAGTGAATATTTGTTACAAGAGTGGCCAGACTGCAAGTTCAGTTGACAGATCTGTGGTTCATTTGAGCCTATTAATCATATTAAAATATTGCACAAATAATGCTTTATAGATAGAAGTGATTACTTTGCTGAAACAGAGGTATCAGATGGCACAGACTGTGCATGGACTGAAAGTATTTATCCATCAGCTGATTATGAAATCTAAACTTGTCACGTGAAAAAGTGATTTAAGACTTTTAAAGCCGGGCGCCGTGGCTCACTCCCATAATCCCAACACTGTGGGAGGCTGAGGTGAGTGGATTATTTGAGGTTAGGAGTTTGAGACCAGCCTGGACAACATGGTGAAACCCTGCCGCTACTAAAAGTACAAAATTTAGCCTGGCATGGTGGTGGATGCCTGTACTCCCAGCTACTCGGGAGGCTGAGGCAGGAGAATCGCTTGAACCCAGGAGGTGAAGGTGAAGGTTGCAGTGAGCCGAGATTGTGCCACTGCACTCCAGCCTGGGGGATAGAGTGAGACTCTGTCTGAAAAAAAAAAGAAAAAAATAAAGAAAAAAAAAAGACTTTTAGGTCCCAACTTGGCATATGAAAAATAAAAATGATTTGAAAGAGTAAACTACAATGTTTGAAAATGTAAATTTTAAATCAGACTGTATCATTGACGATCACCTGTGGTTGAAGCAAGTGATAATAAAGGCCTGGTGTATATAGCATGAGAGTGGGAATAGTCTCATGAATAAAACTGGCGGGTCACTGGGATTGGCAGCTAGAGAAAAGGAGGAGAAGAGACAGAAGATTCTAACCTGGTTAAGTTTGAGGTTAATGGTGCCATTGACTTTTCTAGGCATAGAGGAGAAGGAATAGATTTGAGGATAAATTATGAAATCCACTTGGATACTGGGCATGGTGGCTCACACCTATAATCCCAGGACTTCAGGAGGCCATGGTGGGGATGGATCACTTGAGGCCACGAGTTCCAGACCAGCCTGGGTAACATGGTGAAACCCCATGTGAAAATACAGACACACACACACACACACACACACACACGCACAGACACAGACACACACCATTAACCAGGTGTGGTGGTTCATGCCAGTAGTCCCAGCTACTCAGGAGGCTGAGGCACCAGAATCGCTTGAGGTGGAGGTTGCAGTGAGTCGAGATTGTGCCACTGCACTCCAGCCTGGGCAACCGAGTGAGACTCTGTCTCAAAAAAAAAAAAAAAAAGACAAAAACGAAAAATGTATTTGGGATGTACTGACTTTGAGGTGCTTATGGGCATTCTATTGTCAAAATTATTCATTTATTAGTTTATCCAAATTTTGCTGCTCACTTGCTGAAACTTTTACTCACACTAGAGAAAGAAAAAAATTGCACAAAAGCACCTTTTGATCATCTTTACTAAATACAGGTTGTTATGGAACAATTCTTAATCTCAGTCTAAAACCTATCTTCTGCAGGTAATACATAATGGACTTTTTAAAGCAAACTGATTTTCAGATGTAACACCACAGATAACACAAGATTAAGCATCCATTTCTTTTTAAAGTTAATCAGGTTTCAATCTTCAGGGGAAATTAAGTTTCCTCTTCACTGGGTAGATTAGAAAATGGTGAGTTGTTTTTTAAATAAGAAGGATCAAATTAGTCAGTTTTGCTACACCGGGAAATCCAGCTCTCATGGGATAGTTGTGACCCTGAAAGTAGGTTATCCTGGAGACGAGGGATCAGGTGTAACTAAGTGAACAATAGCCAGCCTCCATCCAAGCAAGAGCCCACACTCACAAAGAAGGAACAGTTGCTGATGCCTTTATGGCAAAGGTAAAAAAAAAAAAAAAAAAAAAGCATTTTAGATGTATATTAATTTACTTAATCCTCATAACAACGCTGAGATATTATCATGCCCATTTTACAGACGAGCAAATGGAGGCACAAAGAGATGAAATAATGTGGCCAAGGTTACATGCTAGTAAGTTGCTGATCTGGAATTTTAACCCAGAAAGTCCTGTCTCCAGCGTCTATGATTTTACCCACTACACTATACTTCTTAAGCATGTCAAGAAAGTGAGAACGAACTTTAAGTTGATTTAATTAGACTAACTCTGAAAGTCTGAAAATAAAATTGATTCATTGGAAACTTTTCATCAGCCCTTATTTTGGGGGATATTCAATTTAGTGAAATTTAATATTTCAGTAAAGGTTAATTCACTACATAAAACAATGTGATTTTTTTCCTTTGAAACACAGTTTAGTATTGTGATCAAGATTTCCCTGAGTCTCCCAGCGGTCTGAATTGGGGTACGTCACTTCACTACCCCTTGACTCAAATTCCGTATTTATAAAACAGGTAAATATTGGTATTACCTTTTAAGAGTGTTGTGAGGATACGCAGATTTTTTTTAAAAGCAGTTAAAGCCTTTAAACAGTAATTATAAGCATTTGTCATAATTATACCTTTGTTAGACTTCTAGGTCAATGAATCAGAACATTTAAATCCCAATGTTTGATTACAAAATCTGGTAACAGATGGGTGAAAGGAACCTAGAATGGGAATTCTCCAGGAATTCACATTTAACTGTTCTTTCCAAAGTCCCCTCTATTAACTCCTGTTCTATGAAGTGATAGGAAAAGATGAGGTATTAATTTTCTTTCTTAAATATTTGAAGGCATAGTTGGTGTTGGTGAAGGGAGATGAGGAAGACAGATGTACTTTCTTATGAGATATTAAAACCTGGAAGACAATAAAAACGCAGATCAAATAATAAAAAGCGTTACCTATGGCGGAAAAGGAAGTTCAAATGTTCTTGTCAGGGGAAAATGAGGACACAAAAACTGAAAGAGGGCACAAAACAATTGCAGGGGTGATATGCATTAGGATTGTTAGGGATAATTTCTGCGCCCTACGCTCTTATTAGTAATGAAATACGGTGTGAGGAGCTGAGATTCGTTCTGCAGTCTCAAAGTGTCAGTCGGAAAGTAATCCCTCCCTTGCCATAGAAACAGAACCGAACTGGCAGCGCGATTACACCTAAGACAAGCTGCAACCTCATTTCCGTGTAGGCACGCCCCTTTTATCTCAACCACGCCTCTTCATTCCCTAAGCACTTCTTAAGCAAAGGGAATATCGCGAGAACGGTATATTGTCTCTCTTCTGACGTTTTCAGCCATGATAGTCGCTTTTGTTCTCGCGGTATTTCCGGGTACGCGGGAGCCCCGGCGACCCGGGCTTCTGTGAAACATGGCGGTAGGCTGGGACCGTAACACAAGGTAAAATACTGAAACCCCGCTGGATGCTGTTCCCTGAGCTGTTCCAGGGCTGCTTCGGGCATAAATGCAGTTGAGGGAACAGGGAGCCTGTCATGGGCTTGGCTTCCTGTCTTCATTGATCTCTGGAGAGCGGGTCGGACGGAGAAGCCTCTCCACCTCCCCCGGGGGCGTTACTGGCAGGACCCTAGGCAAAGATGCTACTGGGAGCTTCCCTTTGCCAGGACCGGGTGCTCGTGTGCTGTCTTGCAACTCGAAGGAGTTCAGGTGCTTCCTCGATAGCCCGTGGTTCTGACCTTTTGGTTCTCACACTGCGCGGTTCCCCGGTGGCTTCTCCAGTCCGCAGGCGGGTAGGATCCCAGTCGGTCGAGTCCCAGTCCTCCCGGATGTCAGACTCCCTACCCCCATTCAGACAAATACCACATTCGTGGCAGCACGTTGCCCTCTGTCTCATTTTTAAGAGTCTTGGCCTCGCCTGAAAGGAGTTTCGCACAGTGCCTCGGAAAATGAGAAAGGGGCAGGAGAGGGCGAGATGCTGAGAGACAGGTACGACTGTCACTACTTTTCCCCCGCACAGAAAACCCTCCGAAGGCAACGTGTCAACTCGTGTTGAATAGCCTTGGTTATCGGTAGTATATAGAGTTGACAGGTCGTTGTTTGAGAAAACACGTTTAAATAACTTTGATATTTTAGTGCACCTGAGACTTGAAGACAGAGTGACATAATAGCTGTTAAAATGTTGCCAGACTGGTTTTCAGAAGCAATGAAAGTTACAGTTAAAAACAGGATTTATTCATTTGAAGTTGTAATTCAGTATTTCAATTAATTGCCTAGCCTGATACATTGGACTGTAGTATACCGCAATTATAAAGAACGAAAAAAGACTTATGGTTCACTGAAAAAAGACTTATGGTTATTTACCTAATTTGTTTGTTGATATCTTTAAGTTGTAATTATGCCAGTTCTAGTGGAAAACATGAGGGAAAAAATTCTGTTTTTTTGGGAGGGTGGGGGTTGGCGGTGCAGGGATGGATAGAGAGAGGATGATTTTTTTTTTTTTTTTTTAAATAATAGTGAACTTTAGTGTACAATTGCGTGTTATAATGGCTTCCTGGTAGAAATCATAAAAATATATCAAGTTTGAAAGATCTCTCGAAGGAAATCAGGCCTATTCTGGAACAACAACAGTTGGGGAAACAACAACAACCCACTCATTTCCTTTCTTTGGGGGTTGATGATTTAAGTGAAAGAAGTGGCTATTTTTTTTTTTCTTTACTAGAAGTTACTTTTAGGCAGTCAATGCCTGCTAAAAATCCTATTTAACAGTTTCCCAATATTTATTATAATTCTGCCTCTTAATGTCATAGTGGTCAAATTATTTAACCTCTCTGTGCCTTCGTTCCCTCATCGGCCAAAGGAAATAATAATACCTAACTTATAGGAAGGTTGTGAGGATTAAATGTGTTAAAACATACGAAGCATTTAGAACAGTAGCTGGCACACAGTAAGCACTCTATGCATGTTAGCTCTTGTTATTTTTTATTTTCATTTTCTAACATCTGTAGTTACAAATGTTGCCTTGTTACTTAGTCAAAATGTAGACTGAAGAAGATACTGTTTAAAGTAATATCTTTCTGAACCGCAGATTAATTAAACACTCTGATTGGTGTGGTTAATGTGTCCTTAAACGCCCATCATCCAGTTGCTTGTTTTCTTAAATTATTATCCTCTTTTAATAACTGAAGCGTAAGTTCTTTCTTTCTACTGCTCTGTGTAGTCACATCGTAGTGTGGCTCAGATCTACCCTCTGAGTGCCTCGTTAACCCCATACTCTTTGCTTTTGAGAACATTCATTCTGTTGTAAATATATTTCATGTGTCCCTGACCTTTTCCTTAACATTTTTTAACTTTAATTTTCTATACTTTTATTGAGAGCCACTATAGTCTAGTTCTTTGAGGAGGATCGTATTTGTCCTTGCTTCACATTGCTTCTACGCACTTTGAGAGTATTCTATTATCACTCTATAATCTCTCTTAACTTTTAGTCTATCAGTTCATGCCATCCTAACTTTAGGAGATTATCAACTAATCTCAGATAACTCTCCCACTTTCCTCAAAGAGTTTAACAACTAAATCTCAAATATCCTACAAATCTTTGCTTTTTTTCAGAGAATTAGAAATAGATACTACATGCCTCATTTTTATCTTGATTAAACACTATGAGGTAGCCATTATGTCCTGCTCCCCATCTTTTAAAATAAAATTATAGAGAGAGGATTCTGAGAAGTTGAGGATCTTTCCGCACTTGTCACACAACTAGTAAGTGCCTAGGTAATCAGGGTTTTCTGATTATAAACTCACATTTATATTGTCTTCCTTGGCTTCCAAGTAAACCTTTTTGTCACTTAGAATGTCACTAGATTTATTTGAATTATGTTGCGGTAAACAAATATAAGGTTTAACTCTGTTGTAAAAGGTCCAAATTTTAAGGTAAAAGTAAGTACAATTGAGGGGGGTGGGGGGTTGCTATCTAGTATTTGTAAAGCAAAGCTAAGCTATCTTATAAAATGTTTTTTATTGTAAAGTATTGTAATGCAATATGATCAAGTAATTTAAAATTACAGATAGGTTTTAGTTTTACCTTTTATTTCTGAAATTCAGCGATGGCCTGAATTATATGGCCTGTATTAGTTTCCTGGGGCTGCTGTAATAACTTACCATAAACTGGGAGGCTTAAACAAAAGACATTTATTCTCTCACAGTTCTGGAGGCTAGAAGTCTGAAATCAAGGTGTCAGCAAGACTTGAAGACTCTAGGAAAGAATCCTTCTTTGACTCTTCCTGGCTTCTGGGCAGTCCTTGCTGTGCCTGGGTTTGTAGACACATCACTGTAGTCTCTGCCTTTGTCTTCACATGGCATTTTCCCTTGTGTTTCTGTGTGTCTTCACATGGCCTTCTTAAAAGGACACCAGTCATCAGATTTTGGAGCACCCTGATGCAGTATGATCTCATCTTAATTAGTTATATCTGAAAGACCCAAATATTTCCAAATAAGGCCCATTCATAGATACTAGAGGTTGAGATTTCAACATACCTTGTTCAGCATATCAAGATGTGAGTTAACACAGTTCAGACCGCACCTTGGCCATGTGCATTAACCAATTAAATTTTTCTCATATTGCCAAATATATATTAAAAATAGAAATTAACTCAAAACTTGGGTAGCAGGAAATAACTTTTGTCTTCATTTTTCTTTGGAGAAGTAATTAAACTTAATTGGGAGACTCTAAAAAGTTCATGAATTCTGTATTTTAATTTTGGTAAAGCATCTGATAGTCTCATTATATTCAGATGGATACAATGATGAAGTATAGACTGTGTGACTTTACTTACACTGAGTGTTGATAATGTCTGTGTTCCAACGTGAAAGGTAGTCTCTTATGTCTTATGAAGTTTTTCAAAATACAGTCACCCCTCCATATCTATGGATTCTGCATCTGTGGACTCAACCAATTGCAGATTGAAAATATTCAAAAAGGAAAAATTGCATGCCTACTGAACAAGTATTGTGTCTATACTGAATACTTACAAGTATTGTGTCTGTACTGAATACTTACAGACTCCTTTCTTTTCATTATTTCCTAAACAGTACAACTATTTACATAGCATTTACATTATATTAGGTTTTATAAGTAGTCTAAAGATGATTTAAAGTGTACAACAGGATGTGCATAGGTTATATGCAAAAACTACACCATTTTATGTCAGGGACTTGAGCATCTGAGAATTTTGATATCCAAGGGAGGTCCTGGAACCAATACTCCATGGATACTGAGGGACGACTGTCTTGTCTTAGCTCCAGCTGTTTTCAGTGACTTTCTGGAGTTTATTTATGTTTGTTTTGTTTTTTAATATTCAAGGCAGTTTAAGGAGAGACATCAGAGAAAACAGACATAGTACTGGAGATTGTCAAGGTGTGAATAGCGGCACCAACCAGTGGTCAAAGGAATCTGATCTAGAATTACATTTTTTAATTTTGCTGAATAAAGACAGCCAAAAACTAAACAACCTCTGTTATATGTTTTATCATTTCATAAAGGAAAGGCTGTTTTGACACAAAAAGGAAGAAAATAATCTCACAATAAAGGACACATTTTAAAATTGAATAAATTTAGCTTTAAAAGTTCTTTTCTACGTTGTCTGTGACTAGAAAATTTTGTCACAGAACAGCAATGATTTCTGGCAAGGATTGATGATCTGAGGTATTTCCAAACACATTTTTGAAACTGGCTTACCACACTGAGTAGAGAGGCAAATAGAGTGGGAGTGGGAGCAATGAAATTGGGTATCTGGTAGGATAAAAAGGATTTGAGAACACCAGTGAAAATGAAGGGCAGATTTATCTTAGGAAAGAGTTTAAAGGATAGTTCCTACTGAGGGAAGTCAGTGTGTTTTGGAGTTTAGAGGTGGAACAGTTTTAAGGGTTGACCTTGCTCATGGGTGGCTTTCCATAGAATTAAGATGGAGATCACAAGAGTAGAAGCGCTTGTGGTAAAAAGGTTTTATTGTGAATGAAGGCTATAAGATGAATGCCATCGGAGCATGAATTCCAAAGGATGATAATGGAATGGGGGAGAATCATAGTGAATGATCTGGGTGCTGAAGTAATTAAGGAAATTATGAATATATTCAGACGTTAATGGAATATAGCAACAAGTACGGAAGTTAGTCAGTGTGCACTGTGGTTTGGAGCATAGTTTCAAGTTCTACCACCTGCTATGTAACCTGGGAAAATTATTTGACAGTTCTGTGCCTCATTTCCTCATCAGAAAGTGGGATTAAAAATAGTATCTGCTTCATGGTTGAGAAATATGGTAAAACATGACACTTCTGTAACCTGTGAGTCTCAGAAATGAGTAAGGATTGGAATGGAACTGCCACCAACAGAAAGTCAGGTTTTATAAAGAGCAGATAGAGCAATTTCTTTTAGAAAAGCTAGAAGTTATTGGATACCTTGTTTATGCCAGACAGTGACTTTTACAGTAGGCTGGCAAGTATTCAAAATGGAATGAATTTCTTGGGGGTGAGTTAGTGCTGAGCTTTCAGGAATGGGACTGGTGGAGTAGCTGAGGGTTAGGGTGCTCCATGCTAGAGTGATATCCACTGGAAAATAGGGATGAACGAAGCTAGAGATGTGTAGGGAGCCACATAATATATTCCAGCTAGACTTTCAAGGGAGGAGTGTTGAATAGGTTGTATGTATTATTAGGAGATTAGTAAAACTAGCTGCTTGTATATCTTCATCCTTATATATAAATTAAAAGAGCATTTAGAAAGCTCATTATACAAGTATAGCATTATAGAAACTTTTAGAAATATAATTCACTGTTTTATTCATTTAACAGTGTTATACTGACTATGTGATGGCCACTGTTCTAGGTCCTGGGACAGAGGACAACAGAAAAATCCTTCTTGTGGATCTTATTTTTATTTTTATATATTTGCTTACCTAAGTATGACATACTGCTGTGATTTGAAAGATGTGCTTCTGTGGTGTTTCTGGGAAATTTTCCTTCCTTCCTTTTCTCATAAATGTTGAATACCTGTTTGCTAGGCATTAGAAATACAAAGATCAAGTTAGACATGGTTCCTGCTCTAACAATCCAGTGGGGGGAACAGAAAAAGAAGCAATTAGAAATAGTGTGATAAAGGTACAACGTTCTAGAAGCAGATAGACTTTGAAGACCATGCAAAGGTTTTTTGTCCCCCTGCTCGCTCAAGGTAGAAATGAGTAGACTGGGCCTTGAAGAGTAAGTAGGAGTTAGTCAAATGTAGAGCTGGGGTAGGGGGAAGAAAAAATATTTCTGGCAGAGAGAATAGCATATTTAAGGAATTGAAAGTGATTTAGTATGGTTGGAACGTAGACTGTGAGGGATTGAATTTGAAGAGAGGTTAGCAGGACCTGGTGTTTGAAGGGCTTTGTAAAACATGTTAGGATAGAATCCAAGCTCTTAAGTGTAGTGGGAAGGGAAGTTTTACAAAGATTTGAAGAGAAATATTACATGATCAGATTTATGTATTAAAAAGATTATTATTATAGTATATAGAGAGAATTGGAAGGTTGAAGATTAGAGGTTGTTGAAGCAATGTAGTGATAGATTGTGGCAGTTGGGACTGGGAATGTACTTGGACATAAGGAATTTCTTAGTGGGCCTGAAGAAGAGAAGACAGGCAGGTTTAAGAGAAATTTAGAAATAGCTTAAGTCTAAGGCTGTAACCCATGTTTCTGGCTTGTGTAGTTGAGCTTATGGTGTTATCACTAAGATAGGAGATACAGGAGGAATAATTTTGACAGGGTAAAGTATTCATTTTTGGACTTGTTGAGCCTGAATTGTGTTTGGAATGTCCAAATGAAAAGGTAACAGAAGGCAGGGGGTTATACATATCTGCAGAGAGATTTGGGCTAAGAGTCAAGATTTGGGAGAAATCAACATGCAGATTGAAATGGAAGGAACGGGCCACCATTTGGGGAAGGTGTGGAGGTTAAGAGGGGGACCTAGTGCAGAATCTTGAGAGGAAGATGAATCTGCAAAGTAAGCCAAAGAAGGTCTTCCAGGTAGAATGAAAATCAGGAATGTGATATCACTTAAGAATATTTCAAGAAGTAAAAGAAGTGATAAGCAGTGTATTTTCTCAGATAAGGACTGAGGAGTGTCTGTCAGTTAGTACTAAGGAAGCTAATTACCTTGCTCAGAGCAAATTTAGTTAAGAGGTGAGAGTTGGGTGAGGAAGTAGTCACAGTAGATGAATGGGGACAACTCGTTCTTTTAAGTTGGCTGTAGGTGTGCTGCCAGAGATGTATTGCTGGAGTTGGACTTGTCTTTAAGGGAGAGTTCTGTTTTAAAGAGAAGAGACAAACAGATATTTAATATTTTACTCAAATCAGAAAAAGTAGAAATTGAAAGATTGAAGAAGGGTCAGTTTTTGTGCAATTACTACTAAAAAGGTACAGAAAATAAATTTGATTATCAGCTAAACAAGCTTAATGAGCATGGTATACACATAGCAAACAATCAGAAGCTTAATTTATCAGTGGGAATACCAGTTTTATAACTGACATGGGGGTCAGAAACTGTCATCTGTTTTGTCTACATCATCTGTTTTTTTCTTTAGAATACTAAGTGCATGAGAAAAAATCGTAATTCGAAGGCTGCTTTGTGAGTGTGGAACCAGCAAGGGAAGTTTAGTTGGGTGGCTTTAATGGCAGGAGGAAATCAACATATTAATGCTTTCAGCTCCACTTTAGAGTAGTAGCTCCCTGCTGGACTGATAAGTAGAGCTCCTGGTCAGAACTTCGTTCTTTTAGACAGTATTCATGTTTACTGCCAGTTTTTCATTCTCTGGCCCTTCTTTTTCTTTATGAATGTTCTTTCTTTTGCCTATTCTTTTTATATTAATCCTACCCATTAGATTTCAGATCCAGAGTCTGTCTGCTTTCTTCCAGAGACATTATTTCTCTTACAGTGACTTCTGCAACTGTACAATTTATTGTATTATGTGTTGATTTTATTAATAAAGCCTTGATTACTGGGAATTCTTTATAATATTACCTATAGTATTATTTATAAATCAGTTATAAAAATTATGTAAAGATCTAAGATTTCAGTTATTTGATTGGCTTTATAACAATTTTAGATGTAGATGACATACTGATAAAAAGGGAATAGCAAGCAGCCAATTTTTAAATAATGTTTTGATTATAAAAATAGATAACATGGTAAATCTGAAGTTATATGTAAGCAATTAAAATTCATGATCTACTTTTAACATTTTTGTGTATAGATGTTCAGTTTTGTTTCTTATATATCGTTTCCTGTCTCCCATAAAATTGGAACCCATGTGACCTTGTAGTCTTTTCATGTTGTATCATGACTATTTTCTTATATCATTAATTTTTTTTTTTTTTTAATAAAAGATTTCAGGCCAGGTGTGGTGGCTCACGCCTGTAATCCCAGCACTTTTTTTGGGAGGCCGAGGTGGGTGGAAGGCTTCAGCCCACGAGTTTGAGACCAGCCTGGGCAACATGGTGAAACTCTGTCTCTACAAAAAATACAAAAATTTGCTGGGGGTGGAGGTGCATGCCTATAGTCCCAGCTATTTGGAAGGCTGAGGCAAGGAGGATTGCTTGAGCCAGGGAGGCTGAGGTTGTGGTGAGCTGAGATCACGCCACTGCACTCCAGCCTGGGTGACAGAGCAAGATCCTGTCTCAAAAAAAAAAGATTTTCAATGGTTACATGAAGATGCATTTCTTCACCTTAATTTGTACATTGGATACCATGGGTTTGTTTCTGTCTTCAGTATTTAAAAATAACACTGTGAGAAATATCCTCATAATCAAATTTTGGTTAAAACCCCAGGTTATTGTCATAGGATACATTCCTCAGCGGGCATTTACTTAGAAGAGGAGTGGTAAATATTTTCTTCTTCTTCTTTCTTCTTTCTTCTTTCTTCTGTCTTCTTTCTTCTTCTTCCTTCTTCCTCCTTCCTCCTTCCTCCTTCCTCCTTCCTCCTTCCTTCTTCTTTCTTCTTCTTCTTCTTATTTGAGATGGAGTCTCACTCTGTAACCCAGACTGGAGTGCAGTGGCACAGTCTTGGCTTACTGCAACCTCCGCCTTCAAGTGATTCTCCTGCCTCAACCTCCCAGGTAGCTGGGACTACAGGCACGTGCCACCACACCTGGCTGATTTTTTGTATTTTTAGTAGAGACGGGGTTTTGCCATGTTGGCCAGACTGGTCTCTCAAATTCCTGACCTCAGGTAATCCACCTGCCTCCGCCTCCCAAAGTGCTGTGATTACAGACGTGAGCGACCATGCCCGGCCTATATTCTTGTTAGTAATGTATGAGCAGGCCATTTTACTTCACTGTCATTCATTATTGGAAGTGTATTATTTTTATATAGTTTTTGGTTTAATAGAAAACGTTATCTTAATTTGTGTATTTAGACATTATTAATGTGATTTAATTACTTTTCACTTTTTTCTTGCTGTTTAATATGTTTTTGTATTTAAATTGCCTTCCATTAGTAGTTTTTGTCAGGGCATGAATGGGGAAAGGAGTAGTGGATAAATACTATGTTTTTTTTTAAGGGGAGGATGAGAATGCTAAGTTGTTGTAAGGACATTTGTCAGTTATCCTTAATTTAAAGATATTAAAAAAGAGAAATTTTTTCTCTTTAAAGGATTCATTTATTCATTAATTTATTTATTCCTTAGCATGACTATATGAAGGAAGAGGAAGGTTTTCCTGAAGATGAGGCGACTGAATCGGAAAAAAACTTTAAGTTTGGTAAAAGAGTTGGATGCCTTTCCGAAGGTTCCTGAGAGCTATGTAGAGACTTCAGCCAGTGGAGGTACAGGTGAGTATCAGTTCACATTAAAAGTGTTGTAGTAAGTACAACTTCTGAGTGATCCAGTCAACAACATATAGAAATGTAGCCACGAGGTAGAATTTGTCAGTGAATTCTGTAGTAACTTCGTAACTTGTCTGTCTTCATGCCACTCTATTGGCTCTCATTTATTCTTATTAATATTCTTTATAGCTTCCAACTCAGTGCCATCTGTGCCTTTGGCAGTGTTTATTAAAACATTAATACATTAAACCAGTGTTACTGCTTTGCTGTCCTTTCCTAAATATGTGACCTTGAGGAAGTTATTCAAATCTATCTATCTTAGTTTCTTCTATGAAATAGGAATGATACTAGTATTTACCTCCTAGGGGTTACTGTACTGTTAATATTTTCATAAAATGCTTAGACCCAGTGCTTGGTACAGATAAAAGTATCCATTAAGTAAAATAAATAATGAAATATATAAGAGAAATGTGTAACTATAACAATATTCCGTATAATTTCTTTTCCCATGAAGAGCTAGTAAAATAATGTATTTCAAATTAGGTTGACATTTTATTTTGTAAAATGGGTAATAAGTTGCTTACTGTTTCTGATTCACTTGTGATTAAGTTTTGTTAATGAAAATAGTGCAAGTTCTTGCAAAATCTATTTTAAGTATTTTGCTGTACTATATAATACATTTTCTTTTTGTCAGATCTTTTACTCAGTTCTGTAAATGAGGTGATATATTTAGGAGATTGCAAAGTAGAAGAGAGTTTTGTTAGCTACTTAGAGATGTTATTTGAGTTTCTGGCACACAGATTGTTGTGGTTTCTCAGGATCTGAGAAATTAGGCTAGCTTTTTGTTTTAAATTGGGCTTATAGCCCAATTTACATACATTGATATACAATTTATATTTATAGACATGGATGCATTTTTAATAACGAAGCAACTGTTTCCAAATTTGTACTATAAGGCATGCTTACTTTCATCATTCATCCTATCAGTGACACTGCTGTTTATAAGAAAATACAAATTTTGTCAAATCTACTTAGTGAGAGATGCCCTTAAAATTGGAGAAATAAAATACTTTCTTAGTAGTGCAAATGATTATGTTCATATTTGTGTATATTAAACCTTAACTTTTGAGCTGTATTAGATAAAATGTATAATAAACATTTTGAATAAAAACCTATAGTATTCATTCAAATAGAAATTACATTATTAGGCTTTTTCTTTTGAAAATTTAATCTCACTTAAATTAGTTTCCTGTTCTTTGCTTTTTTTTTTTTATTGTTTTCATTCTGTTTTTCTTTTGTTGTTGGATTTCCCAGTTTCTCTAATAGCATTTACAACTATGGCTTTATTAACCATAATGGAATTCTCAGTATATCAAGATACATGGATGAAGTATGAGTACGAAGTAGACAAGGATTTTTCTAGGTAATCATTTTTTTTCTTCTTGAAATACCTTTAGATTCAAATTGTTTTAAAAAGAGCATACCTTTTAAAAAAGAAAAAGTATAACCTTCTAGATTTGGTTTGTTTTAGTTCTGAAGAAATCATCCTGAAAAATTCTCATTAATTGCATGCATTAAGTGAAACCTTTTAGAATCATTTAAATAGTGGTTGAATTCTAAAACTGAGGTTCTTTGATTTAGCATGCTTTGTTTCAGAAAGTTAGGGGAATATTTTTCCTTAGATATGTATATTGTGGAAATTGTTTAATATTTTAAACTGGTTGAAATACCTAACTGATCTGTGTGAGCTGGAAAATAAATTATCTAAGGATACATTTGTATACCCTTATGACTTGATATCTATAAATTATACCTAAGCTAAATGTTTATGCAAATAAGATTACTTTTAAACTTTTGAAAATATAGTACCTTAATCATACACTTTACATCTATTCATTTGTATTATTTGGATTTCTTCAACAGAATGAAGATAATAGGTTTCTAATATTAAGATTGTACCAAATAGGAAGACACATTTAGTTTTCAATTACAATCCAGGTTTGCCATTTACATACTTTTAGGGAACTTACTAAATCTGTACCTGTGTATGCTTCAGTTTCCTTTTTTGTAAAGTACAGACAGCAATTATAGTATCTTCCTCAAGAGGTTTATGAGAATTAAATTAGTCAACATTTGTAAATTGCTGTGTAACCTTGGGCAGGTCACACCACTGATTTCTTTTGGACTTCAGTTTCTTCATCTCTAATATATTATTCAGGATAGTATTGGTTTTCAAAGAGTTTGCTATTGTTTTCAGCACCAATGCAATACTTCATTTTATTCCAAATGAAGTCTTATGTATTACGTAGTTTGCCACATAAGCATGGTGAGGATATGTGGAAGCTTGTCTACTTGGCCTACTCCTGGTTCCTAATCTCCTGAGCCTAAACTCCTGGGTTATTTGGAGCACAGTTTGAACTCTAGATGACTTTAAGACTTTATGAAGGTCTAAAAATCTGTAATTCCTTTTTTAAAATCAGATGAAAATTATTACACAGAAAAAAGTTTTGATAGAAAGCACGGCACTGAATTTGATCGTAGCCAGTCTGTTATTCACTGTGCTTCGTTCTGGTGTTCGAAAATTGATTTGATCAAATCATTTGAAAATGAAAGGCCATGAAAAATTTTAAGCATCTGGTGATTTACTTTTGGTAGTTTGGTTGCATTTATCCTGAGTTACATAGACCTAGTTTCCAGTATAGCACTTTAATGGTGATGTGATCTTAATCCAGGTATTTATACTACCCTGAACACTAGTGGTTTTCTTGAAAATCTGTGAAGCCATCCATTTATAGCTCCATGATATGGAATAAAGAAGATAATATTTGTAGGACATCTAGCATCATGCTTAATATATGGTATTTGATAAACAGAGAAAAAAGACAATTCCTAATTCTTGATTTTGAGAGTTTTACATTCTTAAAGGAACATTCTATTGAAAGTTTATGTAAATAGAGGTTAAGAGGTTAAGACTTTTTTCTGGCTTGCTTAGAGTTATTGATTATAGAGTTGCCATTATTAAAGGATACTGTGTTCAAAACCTGTGAAGTCAGAAAGGCTTTTGGAATAAGGGCAAATAGAACTTGTACTTTAAAGAGCCTTTGTTTTGGCCATGAGAAATGCAATTCAAGTTCTAATCGACATAATTCTACTTGAAATCCAAGTTTTTAATAGGTCAGTTGATTTATATTTCTCATGGTTTGCTGATTAATTGGTAGGTACTAATGTTTAATATTTTGTCTTTCAGCAAATTGAGAATCAATATAGATATTACTGTTGCCATGAAGTGTCAGTGTAAGTACACCTTCAACTTGCTGAATCCACATGTAGGTTATGGTTCAAACAATTGCCAATCAAAAATAAAAACCACTGGTTGTACTTTATTTTTCCTTTATAATATTTTAAAGTTTTACTGTGATATTATTTAATAATGTAAATTGTCTTACTTCTCAGCTTATATTCTTCAAGTTTCTTTTCCATAAAGAGAAGAGATAAAACTTTCACATTAGTATAATTAAAAGAAAGTTGGAGGAAATGTTTATGAATCAGTTTTCTAGTTTATGTACATCCTTTCTGTCTTTTTGTTTGGAGTACTAGCTTTTATACCCATGTTTCACAAGCATATCCTCATGTCACTGTTTCAGTTTACAACCCTTTATGTTTACTCTTGTGTTTAAAAATACAGATTCAGTTTTTTTAAGTTAATGGTGATAGGTTACCCTTTTTTTTTTCTTCACTGGACTCACTTGGTTTTACTAGTAGAAGTGGAACAATGCTAATATGCCACATAGTGAATGTTTGAATCAATACTGTTTTCAAAAATAAGGATGCTTTTGCATGAAAAATATTTTATGAGTTACTGCTTAAATATTACAGACCAAGAACTCAGAAAATTTTTACACTTTTAGAAGTATGAAATAATTTTACCCAATTAATTAGAGGTTATTTTCTGTGAGATTTCATCTCAGAATGACCTTGAATCTTTTCTTTTCAATATAGTTTTCCTTATGTTAGTGGTTTTAAGAGATAAAAAAATACTTTATATTTAAACTTGTAGTTAGTGGTAATTCTGAATATATGATATTCTGCCTTATTTTGGATGTTTGAATACTGTTAAATTTTAGCCTTTTCCAAATAAAATTTCCTATTTGTTGATTTGTAGCTTTGCTTTAAGATTTCTTTTAATCTCTAAAAATATTTCTAGGAATTAATATTTTGTTCAGCAGCCACTTAGTACTTGTGATTAAGTTCATGCCAGTATTTGCAAAGATCTTTAATTCAGTAACGCTTATCCTTTTTAAATGAGATCTTGAATTATCTTTTTTTACTGGGTAAGAAGTAGAAAAAACATTATTACATTTTGGAATAATCTCCACCAAAGCTATATAAGGCTACTTTTAGCTTTTGGACAAATATATAGGAAGTGATTCTACATACTTGGTGAGTTTTTTTTGTTTTTTTTGGTTTTGTTTTTGGCTTGATGAGTTTTCTGTTAGTTGTCGTAATTTGTTTATATTGGGGATGGTGTGCCGCCAAGCATAGAATGTAAAACTTCTAATTCTTTTCTGTATGCAGATGTTGGAGCGGATGTATTGGATTTAGCAGAAACAATGGTTGCATCTGCAGATGGTCTAGTTTATGAACCAGTAAGTTTGATTCACATGGTTTTTTGAAATACATGGGTTGAGGAATTGTACCCTTGAAGACAGTTTTGATAGTTGCTTTTTAGTTTTGTCTGAAATAGTTTTTAGTATAATTCTTTTGTTTCAAAAGTAATCCATATTCTTTATAATAAATTTAGGGGGAAAAACAGAAAAGTTAGGTTATATACCAGAATCTTGAGGTGACCATTATTAACATTTTGGATGTAGTTTGGATGTGTCTAAAGTCTGTTTTATAACCTTTTTTTTATATTTTTGTTACTACTTTCCAGTAGTTTCCTTTTCACTTTTCTTCTAATATATATAGTGATGAGCTTTTTTCTTTTTCTCTAGTGATTTGGGCACTTTTATGTCCAGTTTGTATTCTACTATTACCAAATTTAAGTATTTAAAATATTTGAACTGTATTTCTCTTACAGTCAAGAATAAAGCAGTATCTTTCTAAGAGGAGAATGGGCATTACTACTCCCTTCCTCCTTTATGCCTCTATTTCCCACAGCGTGTGAAATGCTGACATTTTCTTATTATCTTCAAAGCACAAGTTGAATATAACATCATTGATTTATCAGAAAATATCTTCACATTTCAGTGGCAGATACGGTGATAACGAGTCATGATCAGAACTAGCCCTAAAGAAGCTTTTGAGAGTAAGCATGAGGACCTCAGCAACTTTTAGTTGCGGACTGCTCTGTTGGCGTGGTGGTACTTGTATTTACACATGCGTTCTTGAGTTCCTTTTTTTTAAATCATTGACAATTGTGAACCCTTCTTTTAGCAAATTTGCAAAATGAAGAGTGAAGGTGAAGGACGGGGAGTAGAAGTACTGAATGTATGGGGTTAAAGGAAAGAAAATGAAGTCCTTGGCCAGTTTTGATTATTGAATTAATTTTAGTTTACAGCTACAAACTTGATATATGCCTTTTGACATATACATTTTAAATAGAAATTTCTACAGAAGCAGTAACTTTGTTATTGCCACTCTGACTCTACTTTCTGACCCGTTTTGCCACTCAAAAAAACTGATTTTGAAGTAATTTTTTATGAGCTTAGTAAACTTACAGATTCATAGATGACAGCATACTACACTATTATCTGCTTATTTTGATCTAAGTGATTATTATTAGATACTTTAATATTTGTATTGCATTTATACTATCTTAAGAATACTTATTTAACTTTATTTTTTTTTAAATTTTCTGCCATTCTTACCTTATTTTGTTTATCATTTTGAAGAGGTACTGTTTTTCCAATTTTTATTTTAGATTCATGGGGTACATGTGCAGGTTTGTTACCTCGGTATATTGTATAATGCTGAGGTTTTCAGGTATGACTGATCCCATCACCCAGGTACTGGGCATAATAACCAATAGTTTTTCAGCCCTTTCCCTTCTCCCTGCCTCTCCTCTCTAATAGTCCCCACTTTCTGTTATTGCCATTTTTATGTCTATGAGTACCCAAAGTTTAGCTCTCACTTATAAATGAGAACATACGGTATAAATGAGAACATATGGTATATGGTTTTCTGTCCTGCCATTAATTTGCTTAGGTTTATTGCCTCCAGCTGCATTCATGTTGCTGCAAAGGATAAAAGTTTGTTCTTTTTTTATGGCTGCATAGTATTCCCTGGTGCATGTATACCACATTTTCTTTATTCCATTTACCATTGATGGGTACCTAGGTTGATTCCATGTATTTGTTATTGTGAATGGTGCTGCCATAAAGATAGGAGTACCTGTGTCTTTTTCATATAATGATTTATTTTCCTTTGAGTATATACCCAGTAATGGGATTGCTGGGTTGAATAATACTCTAAGTTGTTTGAGAACTCTCCAAACTGCTTTCCACATTGGCTGAACTAATTTACATTTTTACCAGCAGCATATAAATGTTCCTTTTTCTCCACAACCTCTCTAACATCTGTTTTTTGTTTTTTGGTTTTTTTTTTTCACTTGTTAATAATAGCCATTCTGACTGATGTGAGATGGCCTCTCATTGTGGTTTTGATTTGCATTTCTCTTATGATTAGTAACATGGAGCATTTCTTCATGTTTGTTGGCCACTTGTATATCTTTTGAGAAGTGTATGTTCATGCCCTTTGCCCACTTTTTAATGGGGTTATTTGTTTTTTGCTTGTTCAGTTATTTAAGTTCCTTATAGAGTCTGGATATTAGACCTTTATCAGATGCAAAGTTTGTGACTATTTTCTCCCATTCTGTAGGTTGTCTGTTTACTCTGTTGGTAGTTTTTGTTTTGTTTTCTGTGCTCTTTAGTTTAATTAGCTCCCACTTTTCAATTTTTGTTTTTGTTGCAATTGCTTGTGGGGACATAGTCATAAATTATTTTCCAAGACTGATGCCCACAATGGTGTTTCCTGTGTTTTCTTCTAGGATTCTTATAGTTTAAGGTCATTTAAATCTTTACCCATCTTGAGTTAATTTTTGTATATGGTGAAAGATCTAGGCCCAGTTTCATTCTTCTGCATATGGCTAGCCAGTTCTCCCAGTACCATTGATTGAATAGGGAGTCCTTTCCCCATTGCTTGTTTTTGTTGATTTTGTCAAAGATCAGATGGCTGTAGGTGTGCAGCTTAATTTCTGGATTCTCCATTCTGTTGAGGAGGGACTTTTTGAGATTTATTTTACGGCAAGAATATGTAGGTATGTTTTATGGATTATAGCATGACTGCCTGTATCTTTCTGCTGTTATCTTTTATTACCCATTTTCTCTGTTGCTCTGAACTGGGAAAATCCCTTTCACATGGGTTTTTCTATCCTATGAAATAAACTTGTTTTGGGCTCTTTCTCAATTTGGTTTCGTTTGTATGTGGTCTTGTATAAATTCATGAAAGTTTCCAACATATGAATGTTAATTTTAAATGATTTAAGATGATAATAAAGATTGCATCCTCATTTTTATGTTTCTTTTGGACACTGAGAATTACATGTTTATGTGTTATAATCCTGAATGTATTCTCTAAAAGTCACTTACACTGTTAAAGTATTCTGTCCGTATTCTAACTGTTGTGGTCACTCTCTTTTTTTTTTTTTGACATTTATGAGATGCCTGATTTTATCTTTTTTTTTCCCCCTACACCTCTTGTCTTTCTAGCTGGATTTTAAGCTTTTGAGAATCATTAATTTCATTCTTTCTTCTTTGTAGTTCTCAAAAATGTATTATAAAATGCTTTGCAGGTTTTAGGCAATAGTGATATGTTAGAATTATGCAGTTGGGACAGTATTGTTGACTGTTTTCATTGTAAACAGTTTCTGCCATCTCTTCCAGTAGTTTATGGAGCAGGAAGATTTTATTTAAATTGTTATAATTAAAAGTTGTATCTTAATGAGAAAGTTAAGAACTTCTAATTGTTTAATTGTATCCTTTTCATCAGTAATATTTAAAGTGTTTAACAATGCTTTTAGGAAACTATTCATTCCTTTGTCCTAATTTATATAAAAGTATTTAAGAATTATTATTTTTAATATAAAATTATTAAAAATGTAATTTTAACTTAAATATTTTTTCATTCATTATTTTAATATGTACTCTGAATATTAAAAACCTAGCCTTGATAACTTTGCTAGTTTACAGGCCATGATCATACAATGTGCTATGATAGTTACTATTCTACTATTTCTATTGCATTTAGTTACTATTTAAAGACAAGAAAAATTTTTTAAAGGTGGGAAAGTAAGGAATCTGATAGAGCTGAATTTGTGTATTGGTTGTTACTTACTCTCTGTGATTTTGAAAAGTTCGTAACTTTTTGAGCTCCTGCTTCCTCCTATGTAAAAAGGGAAGAGGAGTAACAAATTCGCCAGGTTGTTAGGAAGGTTAAGTGAGAAAATGAATTAGCATAGGGCCTAGCAAAGTAGTTTCTTTATACCTTTGTGCTAAGTAAACATTGTACAAAGGTTATAGAATTCAAAGGAAGAATCATAGAATCCCCACTGTCAATCATTTTATTTATACATTAGCTGGAGAGTAACTGCAAACAGCCTTATTGGTGTGTTTTTTAGATGTTAGCATTTTCCTTGTGTGCTATAATGTGAAAAAGGTTTGGTAGCATGCTTTAGGCAAATTCCTTAGGAGGTATAATCAAAGGAAACATCAGAAAGATTGGGACAATTTAACTTGGAGCATATGGTTGTATAAAACTTAGACATGAGGCTCACAGTTATGGGAGAGGCAGGTTCCAGATTGACAAAATTAAATTTAAAAGTCACAGAAGTAGTGCTGTGAACTAGGACTAGAAAAGTGGATTTTTTTTTTTTTGAAACGGAGTTTCACTTTGTTGCCCAGACTGAGTGCATTGGCAGAATCTCTGCTGACTGCAGCCTCCACCTCCTGGGTTCAAGCGGTTCTTGTGTCTCAGCCTCTTAAGTAGCTGGGATTACAGGAGCCCACCACTTGCTGATTTTTTTTTGTTTTAGTAGAGACAGGGATTCACCTTGTTGCCCCAGCTGGTCTCGAACTCCTGAGCTCAGGCAATCCGCCCATCTTGGCCTCTCAAAGTGCTAGGATTACAGGCGTGAGAGCCACCATGCCCGGCCAAAAAGTGGATTATTGTTGCAAAATTAAATTGTGGATATAGCTACTATGAGAAGTTTGCATATTTTTCTCTGACTCTACAAGTAGCCAAGTCTGACTTTGATCATACCTAGATAAAATTTCTTAAGTAGTTCTTTGTTGATCAATGCATTTGGGAATTACTGTGCTATTTTTGAACTCATTTCAAAAATTGTTGATTTTATTATGGTATTTTACCAGCAAGAATTTGGGCTTTGGATGCTTGAATATAACTGTGTATGTCATTTTCTACCCCAGTACTTGTGAATTTCATGCTAGCATCATTTAAATGATTTTAAGCCCTAAGATACCATTTTGTACATGTGATAAATTGTCAACTTGCATATATTCCTGTAAATGTCGATAACTGTAACAGGAAAATATTTGTGATTTGTAAAATTTCTTTATGCTATTTTTCAGTAAAGATAGCACATTGAAATTTTAATTTGACTTAGTAGAAGTTGAATGTAAACCATGAATACTTGTTTTTAACAACACTCTAAGTTTATGTTTCTTGCTCAAAGAACAAATTTTAAAATTGTAGTGTAAAAGCCAATATAATTTGACAGTACTAGTGATTATGTTTTCTTTCATTTCAGGCAGTATTTGATCTTTCACCACAGCAGAAAGAGTGGCAGAGGTAATAAGAGAACAAAGTATTGTGCTCCATGGAAATCTAAGTCATATTTTGTCTATTGTAAACTATTTATGGACTAACACATTTCTCTAGGGATTTCTTTGGATGAATTATTAGCAGAATTTAGTATATAATATAATCTTTACAATTTCAAAAACTGTCAGATCTTAAAGTCATGCATAATCTTTTTTCTGGTAAACTTTGATTCATAAGTTTTAGTTTTTATTTAAAATGATATCAACATTTTTTTGATTACAAAAGTAATATATGATTATTTTAAAAATTCAATTTGAATAGAAATGATGTAAAGCAAGATTGTCCAGCCTGCGGCCCTACAGGAAGGCTTTGAATGTAGCTTAACACAAATTTGTAAACTTTTTTTTTTTTGAGACAGAGTCTCACTCTGTCGCCCAGGCTGGAGTACAGTGGTGCAATCTTGGCTCACTGCAACCCCCGCGTCACAGGTTGAAGCGATTCTCCTGCCTCAGCCTCGTTAGTAGCTGGCGCACAGTACAGGCACACACCACCATGCCCAGCTAATTTTTTGTGTTTTTAGGAGAGATACGGTTTCACCATGTTGACTAGGCTGGTCTTGAACTCCTGAACTAAAGTGATCCGCCCACTTCGGCCTCCCAGAGTGCTGGGATTACAGGCATGAGCTACTGTGCCCGGCCACAAATTTGTAAACTTTCGGAAAAAATTACGAGTTTTTTGTGATTTTTTTTTTTTTTTTTTTTCTTTTTAAACTCATCAGCTATAGTTACAATGTGGCCCAGGGAAGCTAAAAGATTGAGCACCTAGATACAAAGTAAATGTAAAAGCCCCCTTCTCTTTCTGCAAACTAATGCCACTGATTAGCAGTAATAACCAGTAATAAGTTTCTTGGGTAGCCTTCTAGACAGACATTTTGTGTGTATGTATATAATATGTATATTATATATATTTCTGTGTATATATACAAAATTATGATAATTCTTACATATAATCTATATAGTATATAATTCTATATAGTTCTGATATATATGAGTATA